AGACAAATGTATTAAACTGAATGAGAAGTCATGCTAATGAAAAGTTTGATAGTAATAGCTTTATGAAAGGCAGTTACTGTGAATGATTCATTTATATAGATTAAACACTTATTTCGTGTAGTGAAAAGGATATTTTGTGATTGTGTTTTGTGTGTATTGTACTAACAAAATTGAAAATATGCTGAAATGTTTGAAAAAAGTGCACTTTTGACGATCTGTTGTGATATTAGTACTAAGGGTTTTGAAAATTTACCAATTGCTTGTGAAAGCAATAAAAAAAAAAGTGTAAATCATCCTTCATAATGACCTTGCTGGCAAAAGTGTTTAGAATTAATCTGATGAATCTTTACACTTGAATCTTTAATTTGACCAATCAGAGCTTCACTGTCATAGAACATACCAGAAGGTGACATCCACCGCCATGTCTATCTTCACCGACGCAGACAGGTTCAGGGGCAAACCCTGCTGCACGATTTTGGGGACTCCGTGGACCGTCGGCTCAGTCATCGGGTTCATGCGGTCTACTGTGACAGTGAAGTGCTCTGTCAGCATGCTAACCTGGTTCATAGCCATTACCTAAGAAATGAGAGATGGGTCAGTTGCCAAGCTGATAGAATCAGTAAGGCCTTTACATAAACTGGTCTGAGTTCAATGAAAACCAGTCACCGTGAGTTTGTACACTGCTGCGTTCTGGTAGATGATATTTAACATGCTGTTGTAGTACGTGAAGTATGGTTTATCATCCACTGTCCATTTGAACGACGGGTCCGTACCACCCTCCACAGAGGCTATGTAACTCTGAAATACGAGAGAGAGAAGAAGAGGTAAGCAAATAATAAGACCATTAAAGATGAAGGTCAGGGCCATAACAAAGGCGACATTGTGGATAACGAACAGCGTGAAACCTTCAGCTTCTGTCTCACAGACATCTTAATCAACATAAAATATCAGCAATAAATACTCTATCCTTGAACAGCGGCTGTTTAGAAACCAGTTTAAACTAGCCTAAAACTACCAAACCACATGATTTAAGCAGTTTGAAAAATACTAGCATAAAATATTTTCAAATATGAATACACTATCCTTGGACAGTAGATGTTTAAAAGGTAAAGGCATGCTGACAAAATGGCTTAAACTAGCTTAAGGTGGTTAGGCTGATCTGCTTTGATGGTTTCAGGCTGGGAAACCAGTTTAAACCAGCAAAAAACAACATCAAACCACCTGGTTTGAGCAGGTTTTTTTTAAATATGAGCAATACATACACTATCCTTGGACAGTAGATGCGTAGAAGGAAAGTAAAATCATGGTGACGAAATGGTTAAATGGTGATTATCTGATCTATTTTGATGGTTTTAGACAGGTTTTGGGCATTTATCAGGCTGGATAACCAGCACAAAAACCTGAATATTTGCAAACATACTCTATCCTTGGACAGTAGATGGTAAAGTCGTGCTGGAAAGAAAAAAGGTTTAAACCAGCCTAAGGTGGTTTTCTGGTCTGTTTTGAAGGTTTTAGAAGGCTTTGGGGATTTTTTAGGCCAAAAAAAAACAAAACTGTTTAAACCAGCAAGTCAGCAAACCACCTGGTTTAAGTAGTTATTAAAACTGCTGTTAAAAGTTTTAAACCAGCATAAGGTGGTTAGCTGGTCTGATTTTATGGTTTTAGACATGTTTAGAGCACTTGTCAGTCTGTGAAACCAATTTAATCCTGCAAACCACCTGGTATTAGTAATAAATACACTATCCGTGAACAACACTGGATGTTTATAAAGTAAATTCATGCTAAAAAATGGCTTAAACCAGCCTAAGGAGGTTAAGCTTTGATGGTTTTAGATGGTTTTGGGCACTTGTCGGGTTAGGAAACCAGTTTAAACCAGTACAAAGACCAGTGAACCACCTGGTATTTACAACAAATACACTATCCTTGGACAATTGATGTTTATCAGGTAAATACATGCTGGAAAATGATTTAAAAGAGCCTAAGGTGGTTATCTGGTTTGTTTAGATGGTTTTAGACAGGTTTTGGGCACTTGTCAGACTATGAAACCAGTTTAAAAGCAAACCTCTTGGTTTAAATGGTATATACAATATTAGCAATAAATACATAATCATTGGATAGTAGTTGTTCAGAAGGTTGAAAGAATGGTTTAAACCAACCTAATGTGGTTTGTTTTGATGGTTTTAGAAAGGTTTTGGGCACTTGTCAGGTTGGGAAACCAGTTTAAATCAGTGTAATGTGGTCTGTTTAAACGGATGTAGATGGGTTTTGGGGACTTGTCAAGTTGGGAAACCAGTTTAAACCAGCACAAAAACAACAACAACAACAAAAAAAACAGCGAACCACCTGGTAATAACAATAAATACACTAGCCTTAGATAGTAGATATTTAGAAGGTAAAGTCACGCTGGAAAAATGGTTTTAAACCAGCCTAATGTGGTGGATTTTGGTGGTTTTAGATGGGCACTTGTCAGACTATGAAACCAATTTAAACCAATTTAAAAGCAAACCTCTTGGTTTAAATGGTTTTTAAAATATTAGCAATAAATACACAATCCTTTGTAGTTGTTTAGAAGGTTAAAACAATGGTTTAAACCAGCCTAATGTGGCCCGTTTTTATGGTTTTAGATAGGTTTTGGGCACTCGTCAGGCTGAGAAACCATTTAAAACCAGCCCAAAACCAGCAAACTACCAGGTTTAATTGTTTTCTCTCAGCAGTGAGGATGTCACTCACCACTACGGACTCCATGAGGACTCTGTGAGCAGGATGGGGTTTGATTACGAGCCCCCGGAGAGGTTCTTGCACCCTCGCCTGAATTTGTAGCGATGCTTTGGTAACGTTGTTCTGGACAAGAAACAGCACGTTGGTCTGTTCCGGTGTGGACCCGAGCTGGAGGTCAAACCACGCAAACATGGTGTCGTTGTACGGGTCGGGCTGCCTGCATTCGGCCACTTTCGCCACCAGGTTCTCGGGACAGGCGTTGTGAAAGGGAACGGTCTCATTGCTGCCTTGCTGGCCAATCAGAGCATCGTGCTGCGAGCGGACCGTGACGAGAATCCACGTCTGATTGGGCAGGAAGTACACCGTCCCGTTGTGATTGGTGGGGTAGATCACGGCTGGGCCCAGAGGTGGAACGACGTGGATGGGACAGGATGCGGTGACAGGAAAATCCTCATCGCTGGATGTCACTTCCAAAGTGTAGTCGCCAAGCTGAGGGAGGCCAGAGTGGAGGAAGGGACCCTGCAGCGCGGTGCTGTTCTGCCCCACGTACAGCACCCTCACCTGGTAAACAACACCCTCCTCCCAGCCGCCCTCCGCATCCACCTGCAGCGTCTCGTTTGCGTCCCACCAATCGGAGCGGTTCTGGATGAGCACGCTCTGTTTCCATGGCGACGAGGGGTCAGAGGAGCACTGGAGGAGCCCTGACGGTCCGGCGTCGTGCTGCAGGGCGATGAAGTCACCAGGGGAAACTAACAGGTCCTCTATGTCCTCCTGGACCTGAGTGAGAGCAGGGCAGAGAGTGAGAGGCAATGAAACCTGTACTATTGTGTCAAATTACAACCCTGTCCGGCAAGGTTTTTAATTTTCATACCCTCACAAACGTGTGGCATAACAAATGCTTGAATGTGTGCTTTTCTAGTAACAAGCTATTTTCCAAAGAAAAAGCTATATAGCTGTATGTTGTTTGTTGTCACATTTTATTGTTCCTACTAGCTGGGACCATTAGAAATGCACAATATCTTGTTACCATATCGGTTATCGGATGATTATTTTGTGTATTTAATGGAGCATGCAAATGTGACCTACTTTTACATTTAGATTAACATTGAGTCATCTAATGCTCACTAAAAACACTAATAATAACTTAAATGTACTCATTAGCATGCATCCATTTTTCATGTTGTACATTACAGCTTTGTGATGGTTAACTTGCAGCATTAAAAATGATTCATTTTCATTTAAAGTGGTTTCTTTTTACTTCATTTAGCAAAACCAGTACATAAATATAAGCCATTTATCAATTAATTTCAAACTGGTTCTTTTGCATGGTTTATATATACTACCGTTCAAAAGCTTAGAGTTAGATTTATTGAAATATTTATTTAAAGGATGCATTAAATTGATCAAAAGTGACAGTAAGTGACGGTAGTCATCAAAAAAAAATAAAAAATTTAATGCCCCCCCTCAAAATATATATATATATATATTTTTTTACAAACAAATTAATTTTAATCGAAATGAAAAAAAATCTGCATATTAGAATGATTTCTGAAGGGTCATGTGACACTGAAGACTGGAGTAATGATGCTGAAAATTCAGATTTGAAAAAACGTTATTTTGAATTGTAATAATATTTCCCAATATTACTGTTTTTAATGTATTTTTGATCAAATAAATGCAGCCTTGGTGAGCAGAAGAGACTTCTTTCAAAAAATAAAATCTTACCAACCCCAAACTTGTGAACGATAGTGTAAATAAACGATTCACCAAACGGATTCTCATTTTGACATTCTGTGAATTTTATGTATGTTTTGCATGCTCAGAAAGCCTAACATTCAACGTTTGTCTATATATGCGATATATTTGAATTGGTTTTGTATACTGTAGCAGTCCAAACACGGGCCGTTTGTTGAACAACCATCAGCTAAAAGAAGAGACATATATATCTGAAAATGCCCTTTTTAGGGCGATATATATCCTATTCAGAAGAAATACACCACCCTTATTTATTAGTTTTTTCTGTTAGTAATCTTTTATTTCAAAACACCTCTTGCAGTAACAGCCTATCATTTATAAAAAGTATTCTTCTGAGAGCAAAAACCAGACCACATGGCAACACTGACTGCAGTGAGCATGAGGGGGACAGTGATTACCCTTAATAAGGTCCCGACCTCTGGAATTACACTGTGCCCCGAAACAGACCACAAATACCACAGAAAACACACAAAAACAGCCCCAAAAGAAAGCTGTGAGGAGAAGCTTGTCTCACTGTCATGTGCCTCTTAATGAGACAGACTGAGGGTCATTATTAGGACTTGGTTTCAGGCAGCAGAGAGGGAGTGGAAATAATTAACAGTGATCTGAACATCACTCGAGGACATTCTGAGCCGCCCCGCATTTACTCTTCAAACGCTCCGTTTAGAAAGAACGCACTGAAGGAGGGTGAAGCAGACGACCTGCAGGCCCACACACACACACTCAACCTCTCATTAAAAGCTCAATGCTCTGGCATTTCATCCCGAAGCTCAAGCGTGCTGGACGCATGGTCTATGATCCAGATATATCAGAAGAGAATTATGACAGTCAGTGGTTGAGTCTTATAAAACCCGTCAAGATCCATATTTCACACAGAAAAGAAAACAAAACAAGAAACTATATTTTGCATAAAGAAAATGAAACCTTTTATTAGAATTTATTTTAGAAGATTATTTGCATTGCAAAAATGAGTCACATTTTCATTTTCATTAATGAAATTGAATAAATACTATATTCCTATTACTATATTCACATTAATGTAATGTGAAACAGTGCTATTTTAGTATACTACTGTAGTATTTATTCATATTTTGAATTTAAATATTTGAATTTTATATTTTCAGTTTTCTTTTAAATGTTGGTTTAAGTTGTAGAAATGTTGTTGTGTGCTTTTTTTTATTTATTTTTTATATATATTTCTAATATTTAGCTTTAGTTCCTTTTTTAAGTTATTTTAGTACTTAAATTTATTTCAGTTAGTTGTCAAGGCAACATTTCTCATTTTCATTTTTTTAGTTTTTTTCTAATTAAAGTTTTTCAAGTTTGATTTTTTCATATAATATTTATATTTTGTTTCAGATTTATTTTAGTTAGCCAAAACAATTTTTAATAATTTCGCTTTACAATAACAACTGTTCAGTAAGAATTTTGTGCATTACAATAATGCGAGTTTTGGGAAAATATGGGTTTAATTGTCAAAAATAATGTTGCAATGGAAAATCTTAATTTTCCTAAAACAGACTTCATTTGCCTTTCGCAAAATAAAATATTTTTTTCTTTTGATTTTGGAGTGAAATCATGAAATCAGAATGATACAGACATGTTCCTGACAGTTTTTGAGAGTACAAAATTAGAATTTCTTTATTCTTAATTAAAAAGTATGTTCCTGACTGTTAAGATTTCAGATGAAATCCAGTCTGGTTTTCATGCAGTCAAACTCACCAGGATGCTGGATGGCGGTCCGGCCGGTAGGGAGATCAGCACCTCCTCGATGAGTCTGTAATCTGGGTACTGTGTGCCCGCAGGCAGAGGACTGACCCCAGAACAGTTCACACAAGCCCCGGGATGACACGAGCTGGCCAAGGGCAGACAGCGCTCAGCATACGGACAGTACTGACGTCCCGCTGGACACGCTGTGGCTGCTGGTGGGACGGAGGTGTCGTTGATCCACTCATCCAGGGCCTGACAGACAGTGATGGGGGCGCAGAGGTCACCGCAACCTGAAACAGAGCCCAAACCAATCAGTTTATCATAAGAAAAATAAAATAAAAATGAAGAAATGAAATAAAAACAGATTATTTCAAAAGAACACAATTTGTGGATGTTATAAAGTAAATATATATATATATATATATATTATATAATATGAATGAATAAATATTTTCATTACATCAACGGATTTAATTAAATAAATACATATACATACATTAGGGGTGTAACGATACACATATTCGTATTGAATCATTCGGTACGAGGCTTTCGGTTCGGTACGCATTACAAACCGAAAATATTTATATAATATATATATAGTATATATATATATATATATATATATTCATATTTATATATATTCACTTTATAACATCCACAAATTGTGTTCTTTTGAAATAATGTTTAATATACATCTCTAAAATCTTTCGTATTTTATTCAATATATTGTTTTGTACATTTTATAAAATATATTAATATAAATTGCAGTATATATTAAAATGGATATATTAATGCTGTATTTAAACCTTCAAAGAATTTAGATCTAAATCCTCTTCAAGATTTAGAAGTACTCTTTTTGTTTGTCAAAGTTCTTTGGCTATAAGTCAGCAAACAAACTTTAAATCTATATAAATGTAAAAATATAGTTCATGTCTCTTCATCGTTAAATTATTAAAACCTAAAAGCACATCTTCACTGAATAATCACTGCTCACTTGACTATTTTTCTCAGCGGCCTAATTGAACAGATCAAGAGTTGAACTTCCAGCACGTCGTTCTGTGTCTGGAGGTTGTTTATTAGTTCGCTTGGTTTGCAAACACAATCGACACAAAGAAATGAGCTTGACTGGCAGAGGAACATCTGATTTCATTTAAAAGTAAAATTATGATCTCCTTTCATGTACTAATCACTTGCAGAGCTGCTTATGCGTGTGTTTGTTTGTTTGTTTGTTCATCTCTGAGCTCCGGCTGCCAGTCTGTTCCTGCACGGCAAACGGCCAAGTCCTCAAACAAGCCTGTTACCATGACGACGCATTAATACTCACGACTCCTCAAAGGAAAGGCCTATGATAGCAGTGTGTGAGGAGGAAAAGACCAAACCATTGCATTAAGAAGTCATGAATATTTAAACACAATGTTTCCCTTGACGCAAGTTATGATGCAAACAATGACAATATTTTGAAAGATAAATGCTCAGATGATAGTTGAAGCAACATCTGAGGTAATTGGACAGAGTAACCTGGAGTTTCTAAATGAGAAAGAAACTGATGCTAATTAAAGTTGGCAGTCTAAAATCTGAAGGATTAAAACTGAGCAAAGTATTAGTAACATTATAAATACACACTGACATTTACATGCCACTTAATAAATAATTAAAATGATAGATAAATATGAATAATAATATGTCTTGTTCCCTTAAAGCTTGCTCTTTTCTTTAGTTCCAGTGCCGTTATCTCTCTGTGTCGGATCGATTGCTGTTTGTCACTCTTCTGTCTCTGCTCATGTTGTATCGATCAGGAGGAAGCAGTCTATGCCGTATAAAGTGACCTGGATGACTCTCTCTGAGCTGTTATCAGTCAGAGTCAACCCAACAGCCGCTATCGGTCTCAGTTACGTTTCTCAGCCACACACTTTCCAGATTCGTGCTTCTGGAACATCTCCAGATTCATTTGGTTTACGAATATGCATCTAGTGTCTGTCTGAGTGGGTTGAAAGGGTGAGAGAGACTGAGAGAGAATCTACAGAGGTCAATGTACAGGAGTGTGATGAACCTGACTTTAGTTTGGGGACATTAATGACACCACAAGTAAGCCAAATCTGAATCTGAACATTTTAATCTGAAAAAAAATTACAAAATAAATAAATAAATAAATATATAAAATATATATGCAAGCGAAATCTTAATCTAAAAAATCTA